ACGGATTACAAAATTGGCTTGCTAAAGCCGTTCGTGTTGCTAAATGCTCTGATAAGACTAAAAGTGTGGATAAATTTGACAGGGTGAGAATGAAATTGCTTTAACTTTTTACAGAACCTTTTTGTCACATTTTGTATAAATTACTGATTTCATTGGAAATTAACTAACTCATTTTTCTTTTCCCTTGCAGATTGTATGGGATAAATTTGTTTACAGACAATCTTACTGGAATTTTGTAACATGTGTATTTAGAATTGTGTTGGGTATTGTTATATTGACCTTCATTGGAGGACCTCTCACAACAAGTATCCTACAGTTATCATATGCCATGAGTGTGCCTTCTTTCTCCATCTCATTTGTCATAGTGCCATTGGCAATGAATGCAAGAATCTTAATAGAAGCTATCTTTCCAGTCAGTAAAAAGACTGAAAAAACTGCATCTTTAACATTCTCTGAGGTCCCTCTCTTCCTCTCTCTCTTACACACGCACACAAATGCAAGCACTCAGCATGCGCTCACGTATACATTATAATGGAGCATTAACAAAGAATTGTGAAGTACTCGTTGGTGAAACCTTTTTCATTTGACTTGCAGATTTATAGTAGCGTCGTAATGAACAACATCTCAGGTTTGACAACACTATTAGCAGTTGTATACGCCAAGGACTTGCCATGGGATTATTCTGCAGAAGTGCTAACTATTTTGGTTGTCTGTGCTATAGTAGGGATTTTGGGAGTCTCACGTACCGAATATCCTTTTTGGACTTGCTTATTAGCATTTTTCCTCTATCCATTCTCCTTGGGGCTTTATTGTTTTGTTGTACTTGTTCTTCACTGGAATTAACCTGATCATGTTTCTTGGGTATTTTACTCTTTTCTGCCGAAATAAAGATGATATGTTCAGGAAAGAAATAAAAGAGATATTATTGTCTACAAGCATCATGTTGTGTTCATAACTACATTTGAAAACTTCCATAACAAAATGTCAACATATTAAATTTAAAAACAATGCATTAGTACCGATCAAAAAATAAAAAAACAAAAAAATGAACAATGCATTAGTTGAAATGGGTTTCTCAAACTCAAGTCCCTGTATTCCACAGTTTTCAAGAAAATAATTTGTACATCGGTGACAAGAACCCAACAGATAATACATGAGTACAAATGCATATTTCGTCTTAAGATCAACAAGAATCAATTCTGCGCAACTCCTCTTGGCCAATAGTTAATTTCAATTTTGCTTATCTTTGGCTTCCATTTTTCCAAAAATTTATTTTCAACCACATATTATTCAATAAAATAATTTTACATGCATATAAAAAACTTTATTTATTTATTTATTTATTTTTATTATTATTATTATTATTATTATTTTTTACTTTTTAATCACACATTCTCCGACAAAACACTACTCTAAAATGTATTCTGGCAAAAACAAATGAGGCTCAAACAAGGGCTTAGTGTTGAAAACCAGTGAAAAAAAGAAAAGAAAGATAGAGAACTCAATAGATATATGTGTATTTTATTGATAATCAAAATCCTATATTTAATTTATAATTACACTCCCCCTTGAATGACTAATTATACAATGTCTATTTCATTAAAGACGTTGCTTGATAAATATCAAACAAAGCGAAAAAAGAGTATGATTATTTTGGAGTATAAAAATAAATATTACCACATTAAAATCTTGCTAAAAAATCAACGAGATAAAATCTAAATGAAAAAGAAAGAGTACAATTACTCTCTCTAATGTTGATGACCGAAAATGTTTAAGTTGAGTATTCCTATCTCATGTACCAATTTCTTTCACATAGATGTCGAGAAGGCTTTTTATGAATATTGAACATCTATATCACCAATCTTCTGAGACTGTGTATATAGAAGAATTTTTAGACATGTTTTGTCCTTTTCTTTTTATATTGCTTCTTTTGAATGGTGTGACACAAGTTGCATTGCGTTCACACAAAGTATTCACATATCCTTATTTATCTTTGTTCAATATGACTGAATGTTGAAAAATAATTTTATTGTTGAACTCAGGGGCGGAGATGGGGGAGGACTCTACTGAGCTGTAGCCCAGTATTGCCCAAGCCCATATCCAAGAAAATGGAAGAAATGGTCCATTAAAAATAGATATTTAATCACTCAGTCCACCATCAATCCAACAGCAGTCCAATTGCACAACCAGTCCCAACCCAATATTACTATTATTTTGAGAAAAATAAGCCCATATGCCCAACACTTTGACTTTTTGTTTATAGTGTATATGTGCATACATATTAATTTACTTTCATGTATTAAATTTTTTGTTATAGTGTTTCATAATTGAGTATATATAAATAATTTTTTTTTATCATGATATAATTAACATTTTTTTAATACATTAATTCATGTGTTTCTATTTTCAAACTTCTTGATCTAAACACCCGATTTTTTTAGCTTGCACGGTCGCACTCGTGTTGTCATTCAATTCACCGTCTTGAATACTAGTGATGAGATTTTCTTAGTTTACTTACTTTTTGGAACAAAATGGATAATAGTTTTCTTGTTGATTGTATGAAACTTTACATCGAACGAGAATTTACTATGAATTTATATGTAGATTTATTATAGATGATTTTATGATGTAAAATCTTGTTAGGTGCAATTTTTGATAATGTTATATTATAACAAAATTTTTTTTTTTTGTTACATTTGAATTACATCAACTTTTTAAAAAAAAAAAATGCCCCCTGTAGTCGAATCTGAGCACCATAGCCCCCCGTAGCGTATATTCTTGGCTCCGCCCCTGGTTGAACTCTATGGGAGTATCACATACAATTTATAACACGTGAGAATAAAATCAAAAAAATATATTGAGAGAAAATGTCATATAGGTTACGGACATCTTGCGTGCGAGACATGGTCAACTAATTGATTTTTAGATTCGCGGCTTCCATTTTGTATGAGAGCATGCGTCCTTTATTATAGGTCCATGAATTCTTGAAACTATACCTTCCCTATTCATCGCTAGTTGGTTATTTTGCAATATCGATTCAGCTTATGACATATTTAGATGTCTTCGACCAAATGAATATGTTATACAGAACTGATAGTAAAATATGAGGAACTCCAAATTCTTCTAGAGTTCCAACCTCAGCACTTCAAATTCAAGAGTACTGATACGAGAAAAAAAATCACAACAAGCAAATTGATTCTGGATAAAAAATGACAAATACCAGATATTAGTGATCACCACTCACAGATAGTTTCCTCAAGATACAGAGTAAGATTAAGGCACACCACTTCAAGGAAAGGGCCAAAGATATAGAACACTCAAAGAAGAAAACTCTTCTAAAATAATGAACCAAATCTTTAACCTTTTTTTCTCCCAAATGTGAATCATTCAAAGATAGCATAGGGCCTATCTTTATAGGCAAGCAAAATTAAACATAGAAATCTCCTAAACTTATGATGTAATATTTTGAAATCAGAAAGAAAAATAATACTAAACATGGAGGCTAGAAAATCCCAGAATTGGTTGTTCAAAATGCCTTTTTATCTTGTCCCAAATCCTTCCTTAATAGCCTCTTTAACACCCTTGTCACGCTCCCCTGGTCGACAAAGTACTTGGGGCATTCGACAACCCAAAAGACATAACGGTCCACTCATACAATCCACCCCTAGTCTGGAAAACAGTCTTCCACTCATCCTTTGGCCTCATTCTGATCTGATGATACGACTTCTGAGATCAACCTTTGAAAATATAGAAGCACCATGTAATTGATCAAGTAAATCATTAAGTCGTGGAATGGGAAACTGGTATTTAATTATAATCTTGTTCACTGCCCTGCTATCAATGCACATACACTAGGAACCATCATTTTTAGGCAAAAGAAGTGCTAGAAATGCACATGGGCTCATACTTTCTTTCACGAACCCTTTAGCAATCAAGTCATCTACTTGCCTCTGAAACTCTTCTTGCTCCTTAATGTTCATTCTATAAGCAGCCTTATTTGGAAGGCTAGCACCAGGTACGAAATCTATGCAATATTTTATGTCTCTCATCGACGGCAGTCCAGGTGATATTTCATCATGTATTATATCATAAAATTCATGGAGTAAATTAATCATGATCTGAGGTAGCTTGGTATTTTCTTCATTTTCCTCTAGAACAACAAGGACATAAGTGTCACAAGATTCTCCCACACTCTTTCGTACCTCAATTTCTGTCAAGAAATTACTTTCCTCTCATCTCGAAGGTTGGAGACTTTTCTCTATTTTAGTAGGTCCTAACACAATCTTTACCCTATCTTCCACAAACGAATATGTGTTTTTTAATCCATTATGTATTACTCTTCTATCAAATTGCCATGGACTACCAAGAAACAAGTGACAAGCATCCATAGGTATAACATCACAATATAACTTGTCGAAGTATTTAGTTCCAATAGAAAATTGAACAAGACAATGCTTGTACACTTTTACCTCATTACCCTTGCTAAGTTAAGAGAGCTTGTATGGTTGAGGGTGATCTTCTGTTTTGAGCTTCAATTCCTCTACCAATGACATTTTTACAGCTTTCTTCATCACTGATCAAATCATAGACCTTGCCATGGAATGTACATCTCTTACGGAATATATTATTGCAAAGCCAATTGTCATCTACTACATGTACTGCACTCAAACTTCGACAGACCACCAAAGATTCTCCATGGTCAGCATAGGTCACCTCCTCTTCTACCTCCTCATCATATGTTGGTTCACCCAAATTTTCAACCTCACATTCGTCCTCTTCTACGAAGGCAACAATTTTACGGTTAGGGTAATATGATGCAATATGTCCTATATCTTGACATTTGAAGCATTGAAGACCAGTAGAAGAATTGAAACGACTAGGATTAACAGTTGAAGTTTCTGGCTTGAGAATGATTTTTGATGATGACGGCTTGGTAGAATTGTTCCTAGAAGGGCCTATATTCCCACAATTAAAATTAGTGTCACGATTCATGGAACGAAATGCTCCTTTATGAGGCTCCTGTAATTGCTTCTCAACCTTATCTGTATGTTAACACAAATCGTTAAAAGTCCAATAGGGTTGTAGATGTACTGCATCACAGATTTCAGTACGTAACCCACTAAGATAACGAGCTATGGTTTGCTCTTCGGCCTCCTCAATCTCACATCGCAACATTAGATATTCAAATTTAGTAGTATAGTTTTCAACATACAATTCATCCTGCTTAAAAATATGAAACTTAATTTTGTTTGCCTATAAAGACAGGCCCTATGTTATCTTTGAATAATTCACGTTTGGGAGAAAAAAAGCTACAGACTTGGTTCTTTTTTTTAGAAGAGTTTTCTTCTTTGAGTGTTATGTATCTCCGACCGTTTCCTTGAAGTGGTAAGCCTTAATCCTACTCTGTACCTTGAGGAGACTATCTGTGAGTGGTGATCACTAATATCCGGTATCTATCATTTTTTTCAAGAATCAGTTTGCTTGCTGTGATTTTTTTCGGTATCAATTAAAATACGGTTCTTCCCTTCATGTGCCCATTGTTTCTTAAGATATTCCCAATATATCGATGCGTGTCTCTTCAACTTTATGGCTACAATCTTCACCTTGCAGTCTTCTGTCACATCCTTGTACTCAAAGATCCTCTCCATTGTATGCAACCAATCAGTGAATTCATCTGACTACATTCTGACTTCAAATTCTGGAACATCAACTTTGATGTCAAAATCTTGCTCAAACTTGCAATTTCTTTGAGCAAAATTTGATCCCATGCTATGATCTCAATGGAAAGGATTAACCTCTTCTTCATCGTCACATGAACCTCTTCCTCATAATCATGATTTAGTACTTCTTATCTCACAGCTTGAAGATACGCCTGCTGTTGTTGATGCTGTTGCACTTCCATACGCAATGCTTCATTCTCAATAACACAAAGATCTCG